ACTAGAAATTTTCCACTTCTCGCCTTAATTCGATCATTCACCTGAAACACCCAAAAACACATGAAATTAAAATTATTCTAAATTATAAGACAACTAAACAAATTCAAAAACAACACACAGACGAACAACAAATGAAAACACTTGGGTTTCCTCCCAAGAAGCACTTGTTTATAGGCGGAAGCTCGACTTTCTCAAGTCATCATGTCGGGATGTCAAGTTGGACGAGAAGTGACTTGCAACTCATCACCCTATCAATGTATGGCTTCAATCTCTGTCCACTGACCTTAAATGTGCCCTTTTCTTCATGTGAAACCTCCACCACCCCATATGGGTAAACTTTTGTAACTATGAAGGGTCCGGATCATCTAGACTTAAGTTTCCCAGGGAAGAGCCTAAGTCTAGAATTATACAACAAAACTTTCTGACCCACTTCAAAGTTGTTCTTTCTGATATGCTTGTCATGCCACTTCTTGCCCTTTTCTTTGTATATCCGAGCATTCTGATACGCTTCCTGACAGAACTCATAAAGTTCATTCAATTTCAGCATCCTTTCCTCCCCAGCAGCTCGTAAATCCATGTTTAGCTACTTTACGACCCAATATGCCTTATGCTTGAGTTCCACCGGCAAGTGACATACCTTCCCATATACCAACCTAAATGGAGACATACCAATCGGAGTCTTGAATGCAGTGCGGTATGCCCATAATGCATCATCTAACTTCTGTGACCAATCCTTCCTGGATGCATTAACTGTCTTCTCTAAAATTCTTTTCAACTCTTTGTTCGACAATTCCACTTGCCCGCTGGTTTGAGGATGGTATGGTGTGGCCACTTTATGTTTCACTCCATATTTTCCCAACAAGGCATCTAATTGCCTATTGCAAAAATGAGACCCCCCATCACTGATAATTGCCTGTGGTATCCCAAATCTTGAGAAAATGTTATTTCTCACAAAGTTAATCACCACCTTGGCATCATTGGATGGAATGCAACTGCTTCCACCCATTTCGAAACATAATCCACCACCACCACCAAAATGTACATATTCCCATAAGAATTCGGGAAAGGACCCATGAAGTCAATTCCTCACACATCAAACAGCTCAACAACTAGGATGTTATTCAATGGCATCTCATCTTTCCTTGAAATATTTCCACTCCGTTGACATTGATCACATTCCTAAACCACCCAGAAGGCATCCTTGAATAGGGTTGGCTAATAAAATCCAGACTGAAAGACCTTGGCTGTTGTCCTAGTTCCTCCAAAATGACCACCCACTTCTCTTTCATGGCAATACCATAGAATACTCTCTATCTCCTCTTCCGGTACACACCTACGTATCATCTGATCAGCACAGTATCTATACAAGAATGGTTCTTCCTAGAAATAATACTTCAAGTGGGAGAAAAACTTCCTCTTTTGTTGGAAGGTCACGCCATTTGGAAGTACTCTCGATGACAAGTAGTTTGCAATATCTGCATACCAAGGTGCTTCTTCAACTCTCATCAATTTCTCATCCGGAAAGGTTTCCTTGATTTGGGTTTCTCTTTACTTCCCTAGGTTGGTCGTTCAATCCTTGACAAATGATCTGCCACCACATTTTCTGACCCCTTTTTATCTTGGATCTCCAACTCAAACTCTTGTAGTAATAGGATCCATCTTATCAGCCAAGGTTTTGCTTCTTACTTTTCCAACAGATGCTTGAGTGCCGAATGATCCGTGTAGACTATCACCTTAGCACCTAGCAAATAAGAACGAAATTTATCAAATGCAAAAACCACGGCTAACAACTCTTCTTCAGCAGTGGTGTAATTCAACTATGCATCAGTGAGTGTCTTGCTAGCATACTGAATTACATGTAAAACTTTGTTCTTTCTTTGTTCTAAAACTATTCCTAGTGTAAAATCACTAGCATCACAAATCAATTCAAACGGTAGTCCCCAATCGGGAACTATAATAATAGGTGCAGACACTAACAATTTCTTAAGAGTTTGAAAAGCATGCATGCATTCATCATCAAAATCAAAAGGACCATCCTTAATCAGTAAATTGCAAAGGGGTTTAGAGATTTTAGAAAAATCCTTAATAAACCGTCTATAGAACCCTACATGCCCCAAGAAACTCTGAACTTTCTTAATGTTTGCAGATGGTGGCAGCTTCTCAATCACTTTCATTTTTGCCCGATCCACTTTGATGTCGTCCTTCGAAATTCTGTGATCGAGTATTATTCCTTCCTGTACCATGAAGTGGCATTTCTCCCAGTTGAGCACTAAATTCGTCTCCTGACATCGCTACAAAACAAATGAAAGATTAGATAAACAATTGTCAAAAAAAGAACCAAAAACAGAGAAGTCGTCCATGAAGACTTCTATAAACCGTTCTACCATGTCACCAAAGATCGACATCATGCATCGCTAAAATATGGCAGGTGCATTGCACAACCTGAAGGGCATCCTTCTGTAGGCAAAGGCGCCATAGGGACAAGTGAATGTCGTATTCTCTTGATCTTCAAGAGCAATGACAATCTGATTATAACTTGAAAAACCATCCAAGAAACAATAGTAAGCATGCCCTGCCAATCTCTCCAACATTTGATCGATGAAAGGAAATGGGAAATGATCCTTCCTTGCGCTTCAATCAATTTTCGGTAATCAATGCACACCCTCCAACCCGTGACTGTCCTAGTTGGTATCAATTCATTGCTGTCATTCTTAATCACCGTGATACCTCATTTCTTTGGAACCACTTGCATCGGGCTTACCCATGGGCTATCTGAAATAGGATAAATTGTGCCCGCATCTAAAAGTTTCACCACCTCCTTTCTCACCACTTCCTTCATAAAAAGATTCAATCTCCATTGTGGTTGTACCCTAGGCTTGACATCATCTTCCATGAATATCTTATGCATACAAAACGATGGAGAGATCCCTCTAATGTCCAAAATAGTCTATCCAATTATTGATCTATGTTCCCTAAGCACCCGAATCAACCGCTCTTCTTCCAATTTATTCAGCCTTGAATTGATTATCACTGGAAAGGTTTATGCTTCACTAAGATACACATATTTGAGGTGAGAAGGTAAAGGCTTCAGTTCAAGTTTTAGAGGTTCTTCCTTTCTTGCCTTTTCCTTCTCTTTCTCAATATCAAACTCTTCAAATTCTGGATCTTGGCTTTCATTTATCGGCTCAAGTGCTTCCACAAAAATCTAGCACACTCATTGTTCGCCGGCTCATCGACCTCTATTGTTTTTTATTGGGCAATACAAGCTTCTAGAGGTAGTTGAGGGGTATTCTCTTCAATAGCCTCTGCTACTAGTCTATCCATCACGTCTACACTAAAACACGAATCTGACTCTGTTGGAAATTTCATGGCCTTAAAAACATTAAACGTTACTATTTCATCTTGGACCCTTAACAGCAATTTTCCTTCTTGCACATCAATGAGGGCTCTTCTGATGGCCAGAAATGGTTGCCCCAAGATGAGAGGCATTTCCTTGTCCTCTTCCATGTCCAACACAACAAAGTCCGCATGAAAGATAACTTTATCTACCTTCAACAAAACATCTTCAACTATGCCCTTCGGATGCTTGATGGATCTATCTGCAAGCTGCAAAGATATGGTCGTTAGCTTCACTTCACCAATCCCTAATCTCGTGAAAACAGAAAAAGGCATTAGATTTATGCTTGCACCTAAATCACATAAAACTCTATCAAAAGTAATGTCTCCTATAACACAAGGAATAGTAAAACTTCCTAGATCTTTGAGTTTCGATGGCATCTTCTTCTGTAGAATGGCACTACACTCCTCTGTGAGCATCACTATTTCCTCATCTTCTAACTTCCTTTTGTTTGATAAAATCTCGTTGAGAAATTTTGCGTAACTCGGCATATGTTACAATGCATCTGCAAAAAGAATGTTAATATGTAGTTTTTTAAATATTTCAATTTGGTAAACTGCTTATCCTGATTTTTCTTTCTAAGTCTCTAAGGAAAAGGCATAGGAGGGGTGTGATGTGCCAACTTTGGTGGTATCTCGAGAAATGGCAATTTCTCTTTCTTTTGCCTTTGCCTCTCTTCTCGCTTTTGTTCATCTTCCCTAGAACTGGTTGGTTTCTCTTCAGCAATGATCTCTTTGTCAACTTCCTTATCAGAATCTTCCTTTTCTTTTGGTGGTATTTCTTCTTTCCCTAATTGTTCCACATCTTCCAAGACTGTCCCACTCTGCAAAGTTATTGCATTCGCTTGTTCACTTGGGTTTGACACTATGTTGCTTGGTAGGAAATCCTGCGGTCTCTCATTTAGCTTATCGGCCAATTGAGCCACCTGTACCTCCAAGTTCCGAATGGACGCACCTTAGTTTTTGAAATTCGATCTCATCTTATTCATAAAATCTGTGGTTTCTTGCATAAATTTTCTGAATATATCCTTCAGCTTTGTCAATTTTTGCTCCCCTGGTTGATTGTTCACCCCCGCTTGGTTGTTTGGCATCACTCTTTGGTTCCATTAGTTGTTCTATTGATTCTAATTGCCCAAGACAAGTTCGGATGATTCCTCCAACCAGGATTATACGTGTTGGAGTATGGATTTTTCTGTTGCCTCTGATTTCCTGCCAAGTAGTTAACTTGTTCTGATGATGATGATGCTAAAGCAAACGTGTTCCTCACTTGACATTCACTGCTCACATGATTACCTGCACAAAAATCACAAGTTAGTTGAGGTACTTGAATAGAATTTACCTGCATACTTCCCAACTGCCTTTGAAGTGTTGTAAGTTGGGCTGAAATGGCCGTCTATGCATCAATTTCATAAGGACCCATAGATTTCTTTGATTGCATCCTCTCATTCAGTCTTTGATAATTGTTGGTTGCCAGATTTTCAAGCAACTCATGAGCTTCTTCAGGTGTCTTGTTTTGCAATGCTCCTCCCGATGCTGCATCTACCATCGTTTGCACATTAACCATCAATCCATTATAAAACGTTTGGACTTGCATCCAAACTGGCAAACCATGGTGTGGACACCTCCTCAGTAGTTCCTTGTATCTTTCCCAAGCCTCATATAATGATTCAAACTCTTTATGTAGAAATGATGTGATATCATTTCTCATCTTTGCAAATTTTGCTAGAGGAAAGAATTTGGTTAGAAACTTTTGTGCTAATTCATTCCATGTAGTGATCGTTCCTGGTGGTAGTGCCATTAACCATCCCTTTATTTTATCCCATAATGAAAAAGGGAACAATCTCAATCTGATGGCATCATCTGACACTCCATTTGACTCGAAGGTATTGCAAATCTCTAAAAAGTTTGCAATGTGCGATTTGAATCTTCCTTCAAATCTCCCTTAAACTGTACCGACTGCTAGATCATTTGCATAATTGCTGGCTTTATTTCAAAGTTATTGGCTTGTACTGCTGGTCTCGTTATACTTGACCCACTGCCATCAACCGTGGGAACTGAAAATTCCCTCAATGTTCTATTTTCTGTCATCTCAACAACTATGGCCTCTTGTTCTCTTCTCTCTCTGTTAAGTCTTCTTGCAATTCTTTCAATCTCTGGATCTACAGGAACCATTGGCTGACGTCTAGCTCTTTGCATAAACTACACAGAAAGAGAGAAAAAGTGAGATCACAAGCTAACAGAAAAGAACAACAAAAATTAACCAATAAACAATTAAAACAAAAATAAAACTCCAATCTAGCTACACAAGAAAAATTCAATGTTAACACAAAAATCAATCCCCGGTAACAACGCCAAAAACTTGTTGCGTTGTAACTACAACATACAATGTATAGCAAGTGCACTAATCTCAAAAGTAATAAAGTGATAAGTGAAGTATCGTTCCCACGAGGATTGGTTGTTAAGCATTAATTTTCCTAATTGTTATCAAGTTGGAAAAATCGAAAAGTGTTGGATTTACAGGAGAAACTTAAACTCAATTGAAAGCAAAATTTACTATGTAATTAAAAAGCTAATTAATGAAAGCAAGATTAAAGCAAGAGTAATATCAAGTAAAACAAACGGTTAGGGTTTTGACTTCAATAGGCTTCTATGAATTAATCTACGAATTATGCTACTTCTACATTCATATGCACGGATTGTAAATCAAACTCGCTAATGTGTAAAACATACCTCCTCAGGCTATGAATTCCTACTTTTCCCTATTAAGCTTCCGCACCCAACAAATTGAAGATTAATAGATCCAAGTTCATTACGCTAATGGAATCCTAGATTGATTTCATTGATTCTCAAACCTATCTCTAGCGTTCAATACAACAATGGTGATTACCCAAGAAGCTCATACATGATTCATTTCTCAATCTCATCATGTTCAACAAATAAATTCAATAAAAATCAGAATAATCACACAATCCATGCAATAGAATGTAAAAGCAACAATAATTTATTGATTACCCATAGAAATCCGAATTACATCAAAACCCTAACCCAAAGTGAGTTAGTTCATAATGAAATTAACATAAATAGCAAGAAAAACAGTAAACACAACATTCAACATGTTGAAACAAAGAAAAGAGAGTAAAAGATCTCCCCTAATTGATGAATCCACAAGGTTAAATCTCAAATCTTCTCTCCTTTTTCTCCCAAAATGTCAAAGCTCCCCTAAACAAAGACGAACCCCTCTTAAACTGTCCAAGTTTTTCTTATATAGTCGGTCCAAAAACCTAAAAACTTTCCTAAAATAAAACTGTGCGTTTTAACAAAAACTGAAAATCGCAAACTTCGCCGCGGCGAAGAATAAACTTCACCGTGGCAACGAATTCTCGAACCTTCTTGAACAATTCTGAATTTATAGAATTACCCTCCACTTGCTTCCTTACTCGAATCTTCAATCTTCGGTGCTCTCGAATGGGAACAAGCTTCATCGTGCTTCAAATCCGTTTTAGAACTTCCCCAAATTCTGAGATTCGCTTGCTTCTGGGTCCAGAAACTCGATTCCGCTCATTATTTGCTCAAAGTGCATGTTTTGGCTTGAAACATAAAACATATGCAATTAAGTTGAAATTCAGGCAAAAACGACATAAGAAGTATCCAAAATTTGGCCAAAAAGCCTCAATAAAACAGTATAATCCTCGGATTATCAGTAATTAGGATTAATTATGCGACCATGACGACCGGCTCAACAGAGGCCAAGTATGAGAAAGTTTCTTGCGAGCTTATCAAGGAGGTGGAAGATCACAAAGAGGCCGAGGCTGAGGTTGAGCAGCTAAAGCTTGATATCAAAGAGCTAAACTCGACCGTTACAAGCCATGCTTGGGACACTTCGATCTTCCTCGTGCAGAGGCCATGGAAAGCTCATCCCTAACTCGACTTCCTTCCAAGGGCTTATTAGAAAGAAGTCAACAGGATGAAGACTAAGGCCTAAGGTACGAAGTACATTTACTCGGACAGCTCCAAGCCCGATAGCGAGGATGAGGAAGGAGGAATCCGAGATTATGCAAAAGGTTGAAAATCCGCCTTTATGGCTACACTCCCACCTATTACTATCGACCTTCCCCCGGTCAAGCCTCCATGGGATGTCTTGGCTCCTGCCCTTGAAGAGGCTAACAAGACTCCTCCTGCTGACGATACTCCTGCCTTCGTTGGTGATGATCTACCTCGGACAATGCTGTTGGTGACGATGCCCTTACTCCTACTACTTAGATTTTTTTCTCCATCTTTTTTTTTTTTTTTTTTTTTTTTAAGTTTAGCGTGTACTAAACCAATACAATCAATGAACAATTTATTTTTCCCATTGCTATCGAGCAATGTTTTCATTTCTGCAGAGTCATCTCAATCATTCTGATTGAACTTAAGACAAAAAAATTGAATTTGCTCCAAGTTATTTGTAGCCCACTACTTGAGGAACTTTTCAAACATATAAGAAAATATTATGTGCAACAACTCTGAGTTTAGACTAGTTGTCCGTCTTATGTTTTGGTCGTCAGTTTATGACCGATTTTCCTTCGACATGTTTTACTCGAGTTTTAACTTCATCGATTCGAGGAATTTCACCCTTCATGAGTTGAATTTTAGCGTGTCTTATAAAGATAAGCTGCCTTTTTCGAACTCTTGACTCTGAGTTTTGGATGTGATCGCTTAGGTCACGATTTTGAAATAATAGATAATAAATGATGAACAAAATAACGATAGATAAACAATAACAAACAAAATAGAGTTTATGAATAATACCTCTTTATTAATGAATGAAATTCGACTGTAAAAGGCCTTACATCAAATAAGAAAAAAGGTAAATAATAACTGAACCCAAGCTGCTTATTGGTAATACCTTCGCAAATGCTCGGCATTCCATGCTCGCAGTACAGCTTCACCATTGAGGTGTTCTAGGTGGAAAGTTCCTGATGCGAGCTTTTTAGAGATCCTGAAAATACCTTCCCATTTGGACCTCAGTGCCCGCAAGTTCAGGTTTTATGTACCTTAGATGACCTTTCTAAGGACCAAGTCACCCACTCTGAAGTCTCTATTTTTGACTTTGGAGTTGAAGTATCGTTTGGTTCGCTATTGATAGGAGGCAAGCCTTAACTGAGACTTGGTTCGATGTTCTTCGATTAGGTCTAGTCTCAAGCGAAGAAGATCTTTGTTTGTTTCTTCATTAAAGACATCTATTCGAAACGAGCTAATTCCCACTTCAACTGGGGCCATCACTTCACACCCATATGAAAGGGAGAACGGGGTTTCTCCTGTCGAGCTTCTTGCAATTATTTTGTAAGACCATAAGGCCTCAGGCAATTCTTCAACCCATTTTACTTTAAGGGTGTCGAGCTTCTTTTTAATGGTATGTTTGATCACTTTATTTACAGCCTCTACTTGACCGTTAGCTTGAGGCCGAAAAATAGCAACGAAGCTTTTCTTAATATCGAGCCTTTTGTAGAAAGATTTGAAGTATTCACAATCGAACTATCTCCCGTTGTTAGTTATTATGGTATGGGGGATTTTGAATCTACGAATGATGTTCTTGTAGGTGAAATCCTTCAACTTATTCGACATGATGGTTGCCAAAGGCTCAACTTCTGCCCACTTGGTGAAATAATCCACTACGACCACCCAAACTTAACACCCTCTTTTCCTTGAGGCAAAGGGCTTATCAGATTGATCCCCCATATCACAAATGGCCAAGGACTTGTCAAAGTTGTCAATTCTTAGGGTGGAGCTCACGGAACATTTGCGAATCTCTGACATTTGTCGCATTTGCGTACGAAGTCTGCCACATCATTAAAGACTGTCGACTAATAGTACCCCTAGCGGAGTACTTCCTACGCTAGATGTTTGCCCCCTACATGGTTTCCCAAATGCCTTTGTGGATTTCTCTCAAGACGTACTCTGCGTCTTCATGATCAATGCACCACAGGAGCAGCAAGTTATATCCACGCTTATACAATTTGTCATTGATAAACGTGTATCAAGCAGACTTTGCTCGAAGGGTCTTGGCTTCATTTCTTCCACCGGGCACTGTCTCATTTTTTAGGTACGCAATTCTTACGTCCATCCAATTGTATCTCTTTTCTATTACCAAAATTTACTCCGGAGGTACGAGGATGCTAGGATTTGGCTGAAATCTAACTAGAATGGAATTAGTTGCTTCTTTGCTCATCACCGAAGTTAGGCAAGCCAAAGCGTCGGCCATTGAGTTCTTTTCCCTGGGAATTTGTAAAACAGTGAAAGTCTTGAACTGCTCAAGCTCATATTGTACCTGCTAGAGATAGGACACCATTCTATCCTCTTTTGTTTAGTATTCCTTAGAAATCTAGTGGACCATGAGCTAGGAGTCACTGTAGATCTTTTTATTGACTATAGCTCGGATCGGGTTTCCTTCAAGACTTTCAAGCAAGAGTCCAGTTCCTGCCCGCTTCTTGTTTGAGGACCCATCTACATATAAGGTCCATTGTCATAAACTATCAAGCTTCGGCTTCACTGGCTCGCTTGTTTCCAAGGTGCTCGCTTCTGACGAGCTTATTTCTCTCTCGGGCTGATAGGAGAACTCTGAAATGAAGTCTGCCAAAGCTTGTCCCTTAATTGATGTCCTCAGGATGTACTTGATATTGTGTTTACTCATCTCCATGGTCCACTGAATCAACCTGCTCAATGCCTCAGGCT